GTTCATGTAATTATCTCACAAGGGGGAAAGAGAACAAGACAATCTTTGAGGAAATATCTTAGTTTCTTTTCTATTGCTGTCCTAAGGTACCATGATGAAGGCCATGCATAAAGGAATGGGTTTAATTTGAGCTCACGGTTTCAGAGGATTGAAAGTCCGTAATGGAAGAGTAAAAGCATGACAGCTGGAACAGCTGAGAGCTCACATTGATCCACAAGTAGGAGGCAGAGAGAGCAAGAGTCGGGGGGAGATGTAATGGGAATGGTGTCTTTTGAAGTGTCAAGGCCCACCTCCAACCAGGAGGCCTCATCTCCTAATCTCAAACAGTTCCACCAACTGGGGACCAAATATTCAAGCATGTGAGTCTGTGGGGACCATTGTCCTTCAAACCACCATAGGAGAAAATAGACAGAACCCCCCAAACAAGGCAAAGGCACTCACTTTGACTACAAAACTTAAAACACACACACACACACACACACACACACACACACACACACACAGGGTAAAAGGAACAGTATCATTTTGACTGTATTGCCTCTCTTCTAAGATAGTACACTGACGCACACAAACAATTCCTGGGGCCCATGGTTATTACAGAGGAAGGAGAGAATTGTAGACAAGTGTCAGTTCTCCACCATTCTATGGTCTTGCCCCATGAATGCCGACTCTCAGTAGGAGACAAAGAAATCTTGGTTGTAGCTTTGCGTTCATGTTAGCAGAGAGAAGGCAGGGGCATCACTCTTTAGAAGTAGTCAGTGGTCTCCCAAGCTCACACACACCAGTCTGGCTTCCACATCTATCCTTAATGCTCACCTTGGACCCTCCCCAAACCAGGGAATAGCGCCAAGAAGATCTCTACTCACAAGGGAACATTCATCCCTCCCCAACCCCAGGTCTCAAGCTTTAACCCAACCAAACACCAACCTTCCCTGAGATGGGTAAACAGGGTCAGAGAAGCAATTAACCACAGAGGGAGGACTCAGCTTCACTCAGGCCCAGTGGTGAAGCACTCTTTACAGCCCTTTATAGCCAGTCTTGGTGTACTACTTAAGTCTACCATAGGCTGGAAGGGAAGCCTACATTCACACATGTATGTGGACCCTAGGCTTTGGCTCTGCCTACTCTGAGCATTTAAGTCTTGAAGCCAGAGACATTGCTGAGCTCTGGAGCCCAGCATGCATTTCCTAGCCAGCCTCACCCCCAAATGGCGAAGAAGCAATCTGACACAGAGAAGTAATCTTCACTAGACTAAAGAGCTTAGCCTGTAGTTGGAGTCAGTCTCATACTGTAGGTTACAGCCCAGCTCAACTGGAGAACACAGTAGTGACGTCTACAATAGCTAGGCCACTAACTAGCCAATAACTAGCATGGCAGAAATCAAAGGCGAGACCAAGTAGTAAAGACCTACCAGAATCAAAGGCTGCAAGTGGAGGCTGGAGTGGGTCGCTGTTTGTTTCAGTGCACAGGTGTCTATGACACAACACAAAAGACAGGAAATAGAACACAGAAAGAAATAATTACATTAAAAAGATAAACTCTGAAGAAACAGAAATACATGAAATGACCAACAGTCAATGAGGAATAGTCTATTCCTTGAAATGTTTTAATTTTGCAAAAATACTGAATTGTTATTGAATGGCCTAGAATATCCATTTTGGTCAAAGATATCCAATGCAGTGCTGAAGGGAAGTATCAAGGATGCTATTTTCTTCTGGATATTAAGGGAAAGACTTTAATTATCTACCACAGTAGAAAATGTCCATAGGAATGGCTTTCTATAAATAGCCTTTATTATATGGGGTGTATTTTTCTATATCTAATCTGTTTGAGAGTTTTCATAGGCCAGGTGGTGGTGGTGCACACCTTTAATCCCAGCACTCGGGGGGGAGCAGAGGCAGAGGCAGGCTGATCTCTGTGAGTTCGAGACAGCCTGGTCTACAGAGCTAGTTCCAGGACAACCTCCAAAGCCACAGAGAAACCCTGTCTTGAAAAACCAAAACCAAACAAACAAATAAATAAATGGTTGAGACCAGCCTGGTCTTCAAGAAAGTTTTCATAGTGAAAATATATTTATTTTTAAGAAATATTTCATCTACACCTAATGAAAGGATAATGTATTTTCATTCATAAACAATATGAAATTAACAGCGACATAGAAATAAGAAAAGTAGAGCCCCTAGAAATACAGAATACAATAACTGAGCTAAATATTTTGGTAGAAAATATCAAGCATAGACTAGTCAGGCAGAAAAAGTATTAGCGGATGAAAAGATAGAATATTAGAAATTATACATTCAGGTAAGTGCAAAGAGTGCCAGGAGATGACTCTTGGGTGAGGCTCTGGTATGTAAGCCTGATTTACAGACTTCAGTGTTGAAAATTCATATCAAAATCTGGATTAGGTGATACGTACCTGTAATCTCAGAATTCCTGTAGTGGGATGGGAAGTTCACCGGCCAGTTCGCCTGGTGTATACAGCATGGCAGAAACAAGACAATCCCTGCCTCCCTGATGAAAGGCAATGTGATCCCATGCAGCCCACAAGAAGAGGGGGAAGGAAAAGAGGGGGAGAGAAAATGGAGGAAAGGAGGAATACCAGGAGGAAAGAGCGAGAGAAGAAAAAGAGGAAGAGGAACAGGGGAGATCCTGCTGTTGCAAAATTGGAGTCCACAAAGGCTTCCCTACTTCTCATTAAGAAGAGTCTGCTTGATCTTCAGCTTCCACTTTGAACTTGATCTGCACTACCATGTTTCTCCCCTTGACATTTGCATGTATTTCCTTTGGAGCAATTGTGAATGTGCTCAAGAGTACAGCACTGTTGCCCAGGTTAACATTGCTGAAAATACCCACACACAGGCAGGGCCATCTTCCCAGGCTTCTGTTTCATGGAGGGCAGGAGCCATGAGACACTTCCTTATCTTCCAGTGCCAGGCACACAGCTTTGCTCATGTGCTTACTATACTGTACAACATTTCTCTTTCCATTAAAATTTATTTCTCAGTGGGCATTGGTGGAGCAAGCTTTTAATTCCAGCACTCGGGAGGCAGAGGCAGGTGGATCTCTGAGTTTGAGGACAGCCTGGTCTGCAGAGTGAGTTCCAGGACAGCTAGGGCTACTCAGAGAAACCCTGTTTCGAAAACACAACCGCAGCAAACATTAGTTTGCCAGTTAATCTCGAGGGAGCCTGAGAATGAGCATGAGAGCATCCATTCCACTCTCCTGAGCTGATGCCAATCTTTCAGCCTGTGGGACAAACTTTCTGGATTGGAACATTCCTGCCTCCCAAGAGAGGGGACACCCAGCCTAGTATCACAAAGCACATCACAGCACATCACAGAGGCTGTGCTGAGGGCCTCATGGAGGACAGGGAGCTGGGAACAAGATAGTAACAGTCCCTGAGACCTGGCATGCCCTTCCCCCATTCCTAGTCTGCCTTTTGGCTGGGGGCTAGACAGCAGTGTGGGTTCAGTGCACTAACAGTTTGTGAGACAGCACAGAAGACCACTCTCTAAGACACCAAGGGCTGGGCTGTCAATGAAGAAAGCCCCATGGGTGGGGTGGGCATGGAAAGTCAGGTGAGCCCTCTTTTGTGGAGGCGTGCCTCTTCCCTACAATTAGCCAAGGAACTGGGACCCCACTTCCACACAATCCCCCCCCCAGCATTAACATGTATATCCTAAAAATAGAATTGGATCCCAGAGGAACAAGAGAAAACTGCTTCTAGACACAGATGGAGACCCGCCCACCAACTCAGCAGCCCAGCGGGAAGGCCCTCGGCACAGAGCCACTGGAAATTTGGCCAAATAGAAATATTTTTCTGTAACTTCTGCTTTCAACTCCCATTCTCATGGGATCTATACAATGCTTCTCTATCATTATGGAGATGCAAGAGGCCAAGGAGCTCACAAAGCCAAATCACTGGATGAAGGATCAGGGACACGCGTCAGGGTTCTCTGGCCAGTCAGGAGTCATGATGTGACCAGAAGTGGGTGCCAAGGGTCCTGTCTTCCTGAAGGAGAAGCCTCACTCGCCTCAACATCTATGACTGTATTCCCCAGAGTCCTGGCTGGTTAGCAGGCACCACCCTTGAACAGCCTGTGGTCCTTAGCCATCCCCAATCTAGGAAGCTGCAGCGGAGTGGAGGGAGGAGGCATTAGGCTTGATTTGTTAAGGGCTATGTGTACAGCACCTCAAAGTGTGTGGCTTTGACAACAGAAGTGCATTGTTTCAAAATATCTAAAAGCCAGAACTCCCAGATCGAGGTTAGTCCCTCTGAGGATGAGAGAATCTATTCCAGGCAGCTTCCCCAGCTTCTGGCAGGGTTTCTGGCAATCTTTGGCATTCCATGACCTGTACATCACCCTGACCTCAGCCTCCATCATTATGTAGTGTTTTCTCTGTTTGTGCCTGTCTCTAGATTCTCATTTTTATGAGGACACTAGTCATAGTGGAGGAGGGGCCCACCCTGCTGCAGCATGACCTCATCTTAAATAATTAGATCTGCTATGATCCATTTCCAATGAGATTCCACTCTAAGTCCTGGGGTTAGGAACTTGGTGTTTGGGATTTGGGGAGACGCCCTTATCTTCAAAGCAGCCAGTTCAGGGAAAAAGAGATTCCCCTCCCAAACCCTGCTCGTCTTTAGGATTTCGCTAAACACCCTTGGCTACGCCTGTGAGATGTTACCTTATGAATCTAAAGGTTTCCAGCAAGGGCCTTTCCTTCCATTCTGTGTTCTCCTTTCTCCAATGTGTAGGGTGAATGTTAACTTCATTACCTGTATCTAGCAAGAGTAAACAGGAGAAAAATCAAGAAACCCTTCACATTAAATACAAACACCTATATGCCTTTTCCTAGAGTGTTGAAGAGGGAGATTAAGGTCAGAAACTCCTGGAGGAATACTGGGGTGGGGGGAGGGCGTTCCTGATGTGTCTTCTTGGGATACAAGAGTGGACGACTGGCCATCCCCTTTTTAGCAGGTATGAAGAGACAAGACAGATTTTTGAAAAAGAATTTTATTTTAAAATTTGTACAGTCTTTGGATAATTTAGAACGAACAGGTACACTTTTAAAGTCTCTGGTACACTGTCTCACACCCCAAACCAAGAGCAACAGCTGATTTGATTGGCAGAAGGATCCTATGATTTAGGGTGCATACATGGCTACTGAAGACAGTCTCCATGTAGGCAGAGCTTTCCTGTCAATCACAGATTCTAAACTACCTGTCACAAGTATTAAACATAATCAAACTAACAATGCCCACATCCACTTCAGTCTCCTTCACTCAGGCCTCCATATTTAGAGACCACAGAGAAGGTTTTACAGACACCAGAATCATGTGACACTTAATTTATTCCCCCACATTAATAACAGTTAAAAACTAGAATCTACCCAGTGTCGTCCATCCCCACATCAACAAGTACCTCCAGCTTACAGAACAACTGCTTCCTGGGCAGTCCATCTCCAGGCCTGAGAAGTTATGAGTGTGTGAGAGCAGAACTTGGAGGAAGCCAGGAACGCCCTAGCCTCATCCCACACAGTAGCTAAGCAGCCCAATGCACTAGGTACCCTCAAGCAGAAATAGACCTGAGGTGCAGGCAGCAAGGAGGGGCAGGCTCGTCAGAGCTACAAATGGGCGGTTGCCTCACAGTAGAGAGGATGCCACGTTCCTATCCACTGCCCTGCCTTGCAGCAAAGGCCAGCCCTGGTGAGAATGCCATGCAGGCCCTTCATGATAAATAAGAAAGGACAGCAGGGTACCTACTTCCTATGCACCATGGACATAGTCTGGCCACATGCTTTACTGTGGTCCCCACACAGCCCTGTGAGGTAGGATTGTCACCCCCCATTTTAGAGATATGGAAACAAGGGCTCAAAGAAGAGATGGCATGTAAAATGGCAGTGAGCCAGTGGGGTCCACCTGAAACCCAGGGCTTTTCACTTCAGGCTTCTGTTGTCTGGGTAAGGCAAGGGGTCAGCAGTAAACAGGGGTCTGAGGCTCAAACACTCCAGCCCTGTGGACACACAGGGCCAGGCTTGGCAGTCCAGTGGGCTTAGTGGCCTATGTTCATTTGCCTTCATTTTTTTGGTTTATTTTTAACCATAAACAAGTCATCTAATGACTCTACATCAGGGGCTAAGTGAGCCTCAGAAAAGTCTTGTGAGAGCATGCTTGCCAAACACAGTGGGTGTTTCCTGCCCAGAGACCAGTGTCACTCCCTCACAGGGTTGGTGGAGAAAACAATCAACAATCACACACCTCACACCTTGTGAGCATCAGTCATGATTAAGATTCTAACCTAAGTCCTAGAAAACATAGTCCCCATGCCCTGAGAGACCTTCCATGGACAGCCCATGAGGTCAAAGAAGTTGGGGTCAGGATATCTGTCAAACAGAAGACAATTAAAAGTAATCTGGAAGGGGGGCTGCTTTAAGGGAGAGTAATGGGGGGGGCAGTTAGAAGGTTAGGGAATAGACATTTAAAAAAACTAAAAAGAGTCCTCGTCTATCTGACTCGCGTGATGTCTACTGTAGGGCAGGACTTGCTGCCAGAGCGGGTAGGGGCTTCCTAACAAAAATATCTTGGGTCCCTTTGTCCTCAAAGGGCTTAGAGAAGGTCAGAAAATGATAATGAAAGAATGGAAAACACAGCTTTTCTGATTCAGGTGACATCTGCTTGACATGTGTCTCTTTCCCAATGCCACATTTCTACAAGAAAATGGTAGAGCTGGCTCCTCCTGGGTGTACAGACAGCAGGCCCTTCCTCCCTAAAGCCCAGTACCCTGAGCGCAAGGAATATTTGCATTCTAGCTGCCTGTTGGGTGTCTGTCTCTTCTACTCAATGGTAACTGGGTTGAGGACAGAGATAGGAGCTTTTTGTACCTTTTGCTTCCCATGGAGAGGGAAGGGGGGCACTCAAAAGCTTTTATTCACAAGCACCAAGCTTGAGGATCAGCTTAGCTGGACAGAATGACAACAGGATTATGTTCCCAGAAAAGTGCTCTTGAGGACGACTTTGCTCAGGAGTAACTAAGTATGCTTCCACGTCCTGTACCAATGTTTTGCTTCTCTTCCCTGCCCTCAGGGCCACCCTGCATCTGGCCCAAATCATGCCTTGGAAAGAGTTTCTTGAAGATATGGAGTCAATACCTCCATAAAGATTTCAAGCTATGTAGGGTGCTGGTTTATGAGGATAACATCATTCAGTTGAGAAAAACAAAGTCTAGTTTTGGAAAGCCTGGTGAGAAATGAGGCTCTTTCCCCCCTGCCCATGTGGAAAGAGAGGAGGGTGTTGTCTCGGGAGGAATGTGTGTGGCAGGAATCTGAGCTCCTATACTCTGGCTGTGGGAAAGGCTGGGTCAGCCTCCTTGCCATCAGACTCCGGAAACCAGAGAGGCTGTGCCAACAAAATTCCCTAGAGTGCAAAAAGTAGGCTTGGAAAAAAAGCAAAACACCATTCCTCCAAGCATGGATAACCAGGAGACTAGCCATATAATGAGTGACGGAAAAGACAGAGAGTGCCCAGCTAGAGACATGTGCTCAGCACTGAATGCTCCGGAAGCCGGACAGTGTGGCTTTCCCGAAAACGTAAATGTCTTCATCTGTGCCCTCGTTGAGGTGTTTCACCATATTCTTCTCGAAGAGCAGCGGGTGGTACGCGCCCATCGTGCAGGCAGTGTCGAAGAACTTCTGGTGGTAGTAGCACACGTCAGTCTTGCGCTTGGATGGGAGGAACTCATAAACATCTACCTGGTCACACAGTGTCATCATGATGACGATACCTAAAGAAGGAAGCAGAGGTGAGCCATGTCCAGCAACTACAAGCAACCCAGAACACTGCCCAGTGATGGCAGCTGCTCAGCAACTTGAACTGGGTGAGCAGTCACCCAGAGTTCCATCTATTCCTATGACTCCAAGTCTGTTTTTTTCTGATAAGCCAAGGCCAATGGACTGGTCCATTTTATAGCTGTGTACTCTCGGCACCAAGGCCACAGCCTAGCACATATAAACCTCCCACCATTCTACAGTATTAAAGGACTCCAGTGAATTTTTTAATGGAGTAAGCTAGAGTAAGGCAATGTGAAGGAGACAATGAATGAAACAATGCTACCACTTGTACTTAGCACTTCCAAATATTACAACATCCTGCCAAAGCCTCACGGGGAACAATTGAGATGACTGACTCATGGAAGACCTGTAGAACACAGTTCTGAGGATCCAAAATGCCTCCCTTTAGTTGGGATGAGACAAGGGAAAGCAGAGCCAAAGCATGGCCCACACTGTTGCTGTCCAGGGAGGAAGGGCAGTGAGATACAAGCCCATCCAGGTACAGGGACTCACATGAACACCCAGATGACTTGATCCCAAAATGGCTGAGTTGTCTATTGCAGAAACAATGTCTCTATGTGCCTTAGGCTCTTCGCCTGCTCTAAGAGGGAGACCTAGGCAATGCTTCTACTATATAGGTCATTGTTCTACTATATAGGTCAGTAAGGCCCCAACTGAAAAAGCCCTTTTCAGTAACTATTAATATAAGCTATCTTTAAAATGGAGCAGCTCGCAACCAAGGGTGAAGCTACAGACTGTGGCAGCCGCTTTGTTCTAGAAGAATCATACACTGAAAACACACTTCTGCCCTCCAATTGCTCCTGGCTCAATGATGAAAAAAGTCATCAGCTCTGTACTGATGCAGGCACAATGGAAGCAGTCTCCCCAGTAAGGCCTGAGGGCACTGGTGTTGGGTGAAGGGGCAGTGTACTTAGGTGGCAGAACAGGGACAACACAGACAACGCAAGGCAATGGGGAACAGCATGTCAACAGTCTCTGCTCTAAAAGCTCCGGGAAATACCAGATGCGCCTACCTGAAGCAGAGGTTACAGAGGGAACGACACACTGCAGGGCCCTAATTTCTTTTCATCTCCTCTCTAATAGGAAAGCTACTCATTTATTCCCGCAGCATTTACCGTGCCAAACCCACAAGGATAAGTAAAACACAGTTAACAGCCTAGTATGGCATAAATTGTACAGTGGTGGGTCCCTGGAACTATCTAGTTCAAAGTGTTCCACTATAGGTACCCAAGGAAGGAGTGTCCATCCCTCTGCACAGACACCCTGGTCACTCATGGGAATGTCCCAGTGGTCCATCCAATGAGAAAGAGAGGGAAGGACACATGGGTGGTAAGAACTGAGGGATGTGTAAGGAGCTTAAGAAGAGAGGCTTTGACCGGCATTCAGGACCCCAAGCCGCAGGCCCTCACACATCAGCTTCCCACTTCCTACACCACCCCACCCACACAGGCAAGCTTGCCCATCATCTCTCAAGGTTATGACTAAGGCATCCACATAGTGGGAGAGCTACAACTGACTCGGTCTCTCTGATTCTGTAAAGCAGTGTTAACAGTTCTGTCTGTATTTAAGTGTATGACATTTTGTTCATTAAAATTTTTGGCATTGTGATTTTTTTAAAGATACTGCATCAAAATATTACTTGATTAATGAGTTTTGGCATACTCTTTAAATTGTAAGCCTAAGACAAGGGTCTTGCTCACTCCACCCAAGGTCCTATTTTCTCCCTTCCTTCTCTTTGCTTATGCCCCTCATCAAACCCTTCCTACTCTCCTCCACAAGGGGAGTTCTTCTCTCTGACAATAGCAAGGGTCTCCTCACTGTGGCCCAGACTGGATGTGACCTGAGATGTCTGACCAAACTCCCTTGTGAGACATCCTAAGTAGGAAAATCACATCTTATTTGGGATAGAACTTAGCACTGTGTGCAAGGAAAACAACTGTTTGGTGAATGAATGGGGCCAGTAGAAGGGCCAACCTCTCCTACAAGACATCACAGGACTTCCCCACACAACACACGGACTCACCCAGCATGCCAGAGGATGGGGGGTTTGGCTGAATCCTATCTGGAGCGATTTCCTGAATGATGTCCCACAGTTCCCACGGCATCTGCGGCCTGAGGATATAAAAGGGCTGGCTGGGATACAGCTTGCGATAACTCTTATACGTTTCGAAGAAATTGTAGTCTGGCTTCTGATACCACTGGGGGGGAAAGAAGTGGTTGAATCAGCAAAGAAATGGGCTCCTTGCACAAACATTCATGCTAGAGGATCAGCCTTGTTTTATAGCAGATTACAAAGTTCTCTAAATCACAGCATTAGTGGGCGGTACAGTAGGACTCAGGATATAGTCTGGTGACCCTGGAAAGGCTTCCTATTTCTGAGCCACCAAGTCTGGGAATGGTATCAGCTGAAAGGGGGTCCTGCACCATCTAAACTGTCTTTATTACTGTTTGTTTGTTTTTAAGCAGTTCTCACTATTTTGCAAAGGCTGCTCTTGAGTTCCTAGTCTCAAGTGATCCATCTGCCTCAGCTTCCCCAGTAGCCAGGACCAGTATACATAAGTACTCTTACTATAGAAGGAGGGGAAATTGGGGCACACATTGTTGCATCTGTGTTCAAGAATCCTTCACCTGACTCAGGTCAGACTTGGGTTATAAGTGAGATCAGTGGGGAACTGTAGACTTCAGAAGGGAGGGGCCCTGGTGGCTGCCATAGCCTACGAGCTGTCAATGGACACTTAAGGATTAAGCGTGACAAGAAAGGTGCTTTCTGTCCTGCTTTGTAAAGCCATTCTCCTGGGGCTACGCCGAGAGGATAACCTACATATATAACGAAAAATGAGAGGGCAGTTCCACAAGGCCTGAGAAGCCAGAGGGCCTTCCTCCCTAAAACAGCTGCTCTTGCAAATCGGTGCCATTGAGTTAGGAAATCAAGCCCTGGCACGGGTTTCCCCTATCTATACTCAGCTTTCCCATCTGTAAAATGGGAACCACCACATATCCACCTACTTCCTGATAGCATTACAAGAGTGAAATGAGAAGAATTCTAAACATCGGAAGTGAGGACCAGAAACATGACAACATTATTGATAGGAGTAACTGTAACTATTATTCTTTCAGAGTTCAGGGGCTGATTAGGACTGGGGATTCTGAGTGTGCTAGTCCCCCGTGTAATGGGCTGCCTAAAACTCAAACAGCCAGGAATGGTTCCCTCAGACATGACTTCAAAAACTGAGAAAAATAAGGAAATCTAAGGGCAGATTGGAGGACCACTTACATTTGGGATATCTGCATGGTACAAAGATGGGTCCCACACAATTAGGATTCCTTCGTTGTACAAGCTGTCCTTAAGGAACTGCTTTTCTGTGGTGATTAACTGCAGTGAGAAAGAGACACCATATAACATAAGCACTTACGTGTAAATATTTGGCCCATAATAACAATTGACCAGGTTGGTACTATCTGAGGCCCAGATCCCCATATGGGCACCTATGTGGATTTAGGCTTACCTTCAATGGAAAGGCAGGAACGATGCTAGAGTGAACTGTGTTTATTAACAAGGTGTTAGCCATAGAGTAGAAAGGGTTCCATTCAGACTCTGAATTTAAAGGGTCACAGTAAAAATGGTACAGAACTCTAGTCCTATAGCCATACCTTGCCAGGGGTAGAGAAATGAAAGCTAATGAATGGCTCATTTTGAAAGATACTACAAGAAAGCTTGGGCCCAGTTACAGATACACTGAGAATATTGGATCCCTGCCAGTATCTACTAGTCTAGCTACAGTCCCACCCCAAATTACTAATAGCCAAGCTTGCCTAATCACCAGGGACATGACAAGGTCACATGCCTGATAAGCTTTAAGTAAACATGATGCAATGACCAGCCCATCTACTATCTTTGGTAAGAAATAGAAGAACATTAGTGACAGAGGGAAGGATAAACGCACGGTGGGGACACTCCCTCGGGATTACTCATCCAGTGAGGAAAACGAGGAAGAGTCAGACTCGGCTGATGCCTGGTTTTGCCAAGTCATAAAATGATAAACTAACTGCCTTGATTTGGCCACCCTGCGTCTCTCTCCAATGCTCATATTTGTGACTCACAGAAGTCAGAGTGGGGTTTTAAGTCCTAATTAAGGATCCACAGAAGTCCTTTCAACTATCCACAAAGTCTAGGGTTTAGTCTGATCGCATCGTCTCTCATAGCAGCCAATACAGACCCTAGTTTCTCCATCACCCAGACAAGGTCACTGTGTCTATTGCTGAACACCAGAAGTCAGCAGCACCTGTGGAGGGGCCAAGTATACTAAAAAACATTACGCACTTTGGATGCAGGTTCTCACCAGGCAGAGATGCTCATCTGCAACCTAGTATGAGCATGAGCCACAGCCCAATTCCCCATCCTTCCCCAGTTGCAGAAAAGTGGGTGTGCCAGCTGCAAAAAGGATGGGGCAGTTTCATAAAACACAGTAAGAAACTTAAACCACACATCATATTTAGATTCAATAATTTCACTTTAAGGAATTTATCCCAAGAAAGAATCTAAATTCAAGGGAATGTGTGCAAGGAATTGCTAATTGCATTATATATCAAAATAATACTGTGTAGAAGGCAAAAGATAAGGCTTGGATACAAAAAAGACCCAGGTCTGTTCTTGTCTTTACCACTAATACTCACTCTGCTCTCCCCAAAGGAGCTATTTTAAGTGTGCCATATGACCCAGCTATACCACTCCTTTCCCTGTGACCAAAGAACTCAGCATCCTACTTCACAGATACTTGCCTAGCTATATTCATTGCTGTTCTACTTGCAATAGTTAGGAAGTTGAAACAACCCAAATGTCCTTCAGCTGATGATAACAAAAATGTGCTAAATATATACCTTGGAATACTACTGAGCTGGAAAAAAAAAATCAAATCACAAACATTGCAAGGAAATGGATAGAACTGAAAAGATGCTATTGAGTGAAGTATCCAGAAAGACAAATGTCACATGTTCTCTCTTATTGAAGGTTCCTAGCTCCAAACCTTCAGATGTGAGCACATCTTGCCATAAATATAGAAACCAGAAAAATAAAACAGGACCATGTCAGTGTATCAGGGTTGGGGGACAATGGAGAGGGGGAATAACAGGACACAAGTAATCTAATCAAGGAAATGGAAAAGGGAGGCTCCCTGGGAAAGTGGGGAGATAAATACAGGGAAAGGAAAAGACAATACGGATGTCTGAAAAAGCCACAAGAAATTATGCTATTAATCATTTACCTTAAAAAAAATGTAATACATGTAAGTGTGTGTGTGTGTGTGTGTGTGTGTGTGTGTGTGTGTGTGTGTTTATAATTTAAACAAACATCTGGGCTGATGCTTGCTCCAAGAGCCAAAGACCATCTAACAAAAATGTTAATACCAGCCACGAGAAGCCCACTTTTGAGTTGTTGGTCAGGGCTGTATAAGGGATTCCCCAAACAGCCTACTGCTGTTGTGTTGATTATCATGAACTGCAGAAACTGAGCCCAGAGGTCCTGAGCTGGACCTGACTTGAATGCCCCTCACTGAGGACCAGCTTTCATGGTAACAGAAGGTGCCATGCAAGCTTCGAAAGGAGGGAAGCAACCAACAGTCCCCCTAGCTATGACATCTATGAGCCATATCAACTACCAACAAGGCACAATAACCCTATGGGTATAGTAGTGGCACACAATCCTTGGTGATAACCTACAGTTCTCTCATTGGAATTAAGGGGAATCCCATGCCTGGTACTAGAAACATAGCCAACCACTCAGTGCTAGTACAACCACTACTTCATTAAACCAACATAATCCATAACAACAATCTAAAAACATCTGACCTTATATCCACAGATAGTATAGTCCTCACCCCTCATTAAGGAAACTTCTGTTCGTAACAGATGGGGACCACTGCAGAAAACCACAACCAATCAAAACGCAGAGTCATGGAGTCCAGTCTCATCTACAAAACACAACCACACCCAAGGCTCAGGGAACAGGAAAGAGTGTAAGAGCCAGAGGATCAGGGAGTTTGCTGAGAGATTGTGTCTCCTAGCAACATCAGAAACTCTACCTGTAAAGTCTTACCAACATGAATGCCCAAATGTGAGCTGAACAAACTTGTCAGACTGGAGGCTTCAACCCTACAAGAAGAACTACAGGCAAATGAATAAAGCTGGGAGCAGGAGAGGTGGGACTCCCCAGAGAGGAGCATGCCAACTGGTTATCCACTGACAGTCAGCCCTGAAAATATACATACAAGTAACATTATATGGACTTGACAGTATATTGAGGAATATATATACACAAATACATATACACATGTAATAACAATTAGTGCAAAAAGAGGCTGGAAGGAGAGTGAAGAGGGGTATAGAAGAGAGTTTGGAGGGAAGGAAAGGAAGGGAGAAATGTTGAAATTAGATTATAATCTTAAAAAGGAGCTGTTTTAAGAATCAAATCTGGAATATGAGTAGACAGGAAAGATTAGCCCAAAGGTTTAATAATGAGAAGAGCCACATCCCTTTAAAACACACACCCAAACACACACACACACACACACACACACACACACACACACACACACACACACACGGCCCCTGCAAGCCTGCAGACATAATCTTCTACAAGTCATACTCTCCTAGGAGACAGGTGTTACCAGCAGGAGACTCATGTCAGTCAGGATTTGTATACTTAGAATACTAGCCAAAGAGCCAAGGATTATACACAGTCCTTGTCATGTCAGGTCATAGCCTGATAGAGATGGTAAACAATGAAATAATGGCTAAACATACAGTAGAATGACACTAGAGATGGTGAATGACAGTGGGGTGTGTAAGCATTAAGGGAATATGCTATGTCATGGGGGTCAAGGGAACAAGAATGCCCCAAACACAAAGAACAAGTGCAGATGACTGATACAGGAAGATGTGAGAGCCTGGTGAAGATGAGGAGCTGTCAACATGTACCCTTCTTCCTCCCTCAGTAACACCTCAGATATTTATCTCATTGAGTAGCAACCTACAAGAGACTATCGGAAACAAATGCTTGTCAGCTGCTCTTGCAGTTAAAAGGCCACGTAACTAATTCTAACAAATGATATGGTTTCCAGGAGGTGACCCTCTCCCTCCTGCTTGCTGAAATGTGGAGGTGATGTATGGAGCTTGAGTGGTCATCATGATGTTGCATGCTGACAACAGCAAAATAAAAAGTAGAAGAACCTAGGATTTTGTCACAGCAGATAATGTGGAAGTCAAAAATGTCTACCCAGGAACTTTCATAAGAATGGTCTAATTCAGGAAGTCTGGGGTGAGGGGAGATGAGGTGGTTCCTCTCACTTATAGCCAACCTAATTTCTGTTTGGGGATTACAAGTTGTTCAATGTGGTTAGAATACAGGGACAGAGAGATGTGGGCAGTAGCCAAGTTGTAGGTCATTCCCATCTGTATCACAAAGGCGAGCCAGCTTCAGGCAGTTTTCCTAAACACACACACACACACACACACACACACACACACACACACACACACACACACACACACCCCACATCCTATAAGGCCTTGCAATACCAGCAATACTGGAAAGAGCAAAGCTTTTACCTAAGGCTTCTGTACTTATGTGGCAAGGCAGTATGACCTGGTTCAGAGGATCCTGATGGAAGAGGGTGAGATCATTATGAGGAGACCCAACCATCCCCATAGCAACAGAGCTTAGAGAAACAACTAGCAAGAAAAGGCTACTCTAGGGAGATATGTGTTGCTGCTCAAAGCAACCTTCCCAACCATGAAGTAATACATATTAATATACAGAAAACAAGTGTAGAACACACACACACACACACGAGGGTACTCATCTATGATTACAAACAACTCCACTGTTCAGACCTTACCTCCGACTAATTCTAGTTGGTACTTTTTTGCTTCCCAGACCACTTTCTCTCTGTGTAGGGCTGTGCCTCATCATTTCCAAATGATGACAATCTGATTGACAGTGTGTCTGTATTTAGAGTCAAGGTCTTTAGGGAGGTACTGAGAGTGGAATGAGGTCATAGGGCGGAGCCCTCATCCACTAAATGTGATGACCTTAAGAGAGAGAGGCACCACAGTCTCTAGGCATGCCCCGATGAAAGGTCAAGTAAGGACACAGCAAGAAGCCACCTGGAAGAGTGTGTGTGCATGTGTGCGTGCATGTGTGTCCTTATAAGTATTTGTTATGAAATATAAAGATACACCTGAACATCAAGGAAGGAACTTAAGAGTGTGAAGCTTTCAAAGATAAAGACAAGCATGTGTATGCATATGTATACACACACACATACCTATGTGCACATATATGTATGAATGTGTATAAATATGCATGAACTTTATGTT